ACTCACAATTCGGAATAAAACTTTAAACATTTCGACCAGTTATGAACAATTATCAATGGTACAGGACAGACCGAAACGTCGTTTGAAGTTCCCTCTTTAGTTTGAGCTATTAGTATATTATTCCAGCCACGGCATTATGATCCAATCTTCAAGGAGTTTAATGTTAAAGTTAACTCACTTTTACCTGGACTTTCAGGACAACATTCTTAACACTACTGCTCTTGGAGTGCGTGCACTCAACTAGGCAATGGCTGCCTGATCAGTCACGCTATTGTTATTTTGCGACATTCATGAAATTCCCTTTTTAATCTATACATTCCACGTTAGTGCACGGGACCAGAACGTGAAAAAAAAAAGTTGCAGTAATCAGGCTTAGCTGTAAGTTCGTAAATGATTCATCTTTCTCGATTACAGTAAATGTCTATTGTTACATGGTCAGGTTGTGTAGATAATGGTTATATTCAATTGGTCCAATAATCTAGACAATGGCTATGTCACTAGATAGGACGGTGTCCTGGTCAATATATATTGCGGCATAGCGTGGCTTCAACTGTACCCGTTGAAGCCAAGCTATGCCACAACACATTCCACGCTTAGACGCCACTTAAATCAACGTAAGCACTCAAGGTGAAGAGACTGGTTTTATAAAAACATTTTAACTCTTTTTCCTTGCGATTGCTTGGATTTTATCCTACCCCCCTTTTGTTATGATACTTGTGGGTTATTTAACACAAGGAGTGTACATCATCCGTTTGCTAAGGAAGGACTTGGCTTTTAATCAATCGGGGAAGATTAACAAATATCGTAAAAAAAAAAACACGATGCGCCGAGTAAAATTTTATTTAAGACATTCTGCTATAACTATAGCACCATGTTTTAAATATAAAAAGGATCTTTACCATTCATGCTGTAATTTAGTTACTTCAGCATTTTAAAATAACTTTTAAGAGGTAATTCTTTGGATGCTTAAGAATTAACAGGCATTAACTCTGGATTATTGGACTGACTAAAGATTTATAGACCAACTCTCTCGGTCATGGACCGGGCCGCGGGGGCGTTAACCCCGGAATAATCTCCAGGTAACCTCCAGGAACATTTCTCAACGAGCCTAAGGAAACTATCTGAATGAAACTAGAGGGGGAAAAGCCCCAGAATTTTCTAGTTCATGTTCGGTTTCTCTGAAGCTCCCCATCCTGTGCTGTGTCGGAGGACTGCATAATGCAAATCGATACGCCTAGTCCTACACCGTCTATTAACCAGAGAATGATCCCCGAGACGATTATAGGCTGTACGAACAATCTGGCAGTGATTCTCAGTCTATTTCACCAAAGAACTGGCAGACGAGATCTCAACCACCTGATCGACGAATGCCAGGCTCCACTACCACATGGCACAATAAATAAAGTCATGGGTCCAAGTTCACATCACAAAAATTACTAAGGGTACAAGATATATCTGCCTCGGTCTCAATGAGGTCTTTCTTAGGTACATTTGTCAGGAAACAGGACAAGCGTGTCCTGACGCGGGTCTTAGTCATTATGACCCGCAGCAGAAACTTTTGGTCACAGGGACAAACTTCCACTGGATTACAGGTCCACCCGTTTACAAATTAGGGTCATGATTAAAACCATTATCGAGTCCTTTCCCGTTCTTCTAGAATTTTATACAGCCAGAGGGTATAGAAGCAAACTCAAGGCACTGCAAAGTACCTAGACAAAATGCATTTTTCGAGTAATTTAATGTCCATTTTCTGGTAGACTTCGAAAAAAAAGAATATCGTCACCGCATGGACATGAGCCTCTATCTTGAGGGATCCTAAAGTTAAGGTGGCTGGTTGTGAGAAGGTAAATGACTGGTGACCACTTAGAGGGAAATGAGCACATTAATGCATTCACTTAGGATACCTTTACTAAAGAAGTTTGTCCCTCAATTTAAAACTGACAAAATATCAAAGGGCGGAAAGGGTTTCAATAAAGGTTTTGTAAGTGAATACACTCAAGTACATCACCCTCAACTGGTTTGATTGAAGCTTTATAGTCGCTTCTGATTCGTCTAACAGCATTTTTGACAAGAGGCGGAGGGTATTACAATATGTCGAACTACTCATAATGTTTTCCAGTGTACACCAGGAATCAGCAAATGATTTAATTGTCTTGAATTTTTAAGGCCAGATAATTAGTGAACATTTGGTCTAACTTGGTTAGATCTATAATCGGTCAGGACTGAAATCATCTCTTAAGGAATCACCATTTGAATTTTTATCGTTTTAACTTTAAACCACCCTTATGTTAGTAACTTTCAAAACTCTGCATGTATAGTTATTTTGTAAAAAAATTACAAAAACATGATGCAATTATTCGGCTGCCGAACATTAAGTTAAAACCATATTTTTATTTTTAAAAGTTTAGTTTACATGTATATGCAACTCGGAAATAAACTATTTTTCTTAAACAATGGGCCACAGTCGGGACAATCATTGTAAGACTGTTTGTGCGCCTAGCGACAAAAGTTTTCCTGCTGACAATGTGGCGGCATCTCTGGAAGAAAATGTAGTTAATAATTATTCTCATCTCTACAACTGTATTACCTTCACTAGGTTTGTTCTCATTTTAGTTCCGAGAGTCTTGCTGCGAGGCGAACTAATCTGGATCAAAACAGATTATGTCCTTGCCGGCAGCAGCAGAGGAAAATAGCAGCTGGAAAATATCCTTTTTGCTCTCTTGAGAGACGAGGCAGAAGGGTTGTCGGCACATCTACAGCGTTGCCAAACAGTGCAGGAGGCGCCAAGTTTCGTCTAGTTTGGCCAATACCCACCTTCACCAGGTGGAAAAAAAAATGTCCTTGCTGCACGAGGGTGGAACGCCTATGTTATGTATATTTAGGTTCCTTGCATGATGTTTTATGTCCCTAAGATTACCCCATGGGATGACCCGTATCAGCGTCTTTGGGTTCATAATTACAAGGCCCGAGCTCAATGTTTGGGAGGGTGGAGACATTGGTTATTTCTTGTATTTTTTGCTATTTCTTGCTAAGTGATGTGAAATGGTTCAAGATGGGCCGAAATATCGTCCTAAGTGCTTTCCTAAGTGTGGGTTATTTGTGACTTGTTCCAGCCACAGTACTGACATTTTTCTGTTATTTTACACCTGTTTACCCAGCAGCAAATAGGTGCCCATAGGCACGCACTAATATGGGTGGAATCTTGGGAAAGGATTGCAAACACTAGTCTTGAAATTTCAAGTGACCTGAAGTAGGATATCAGCTGTAAATTCAAGAGCGTAGAAAGAACCCTCTGTTGCTTGGGTGGTTGTGGCCTGAGGGAAACCAGTGTTCACGTGGGCACACCATGAACCACCACACCCATTGTCTGCCAACACGCTACTCTTGAGGCTACACCATTGTTCACAAAATGACTCCTGGTAGTGCTTTGTCCGAAGTTTAATAGTGGACAAAACTGACGAAATTTTGTCAATCTACTCAGCGGAGCCGGCGGAGGCGCGAGAAGATAGTGCACTTTCTGAGTTGTGTTTGCAGGAAGTTGATACTCAAGCTCCTGGCCATCTCAGACTACTTTGATAGTCATCACTGACTTCTAGCCTCTGCGCCTTATAATATCCATTCTTAAGCTGTGCATCAAATGCATACCATTCTCGTGGTTGTAAATTGGAACGAGTTGGATATACATTTTTGAGGCATGTCTTCTGTATCTAGTTTAGTGAATTCCTCTGCAGCAGCTGCTGGTAGTTTGTACGCACGCGAAGACACTTACAAAGACTTTTGGTTTTCACTTATTCCAAGCACCTCCACCATATCACTAGATTAATTTAACAGTTCTCTGCAACTCTCTTTCACAGAGACCTACTCACAGAGACTTTACTCTCGCATCTATACAAACTGTACTGAGGCATAGACTCAGCTGTCAAAGAAATCTCTAAATGAGGATTTCTGTAAAAGCTCTTGTGAGGAGATCATTTATAAGGAAGTATTTTTCATTTTTCTTTTTAGACCTTTAATTGGACATGAAAGGGAGAAAAATGTATGGGCGGCATCTATTTGAGGAAAAATGTCCAAGCTGATAAAAATGAAGTCTTCCACTATGCCATATGAAACAATGTGATGTGCAACGAGAACACACCGAAGCAGAGGAATGCGAGGCACTTTATAATAATCATGCAGATTTCACGTTCAAAAGTTACAACAGCTTTACTATCAAAAGCACGTCAAGAAATTAGAGAAAGTGCAAAGGTTTGCAACAAGGTTGGTTGCAGAGCTAAGGGGAATGTCCTACGAAGAAAGGTTAAGGAAAATCGGTCTGATGACACTGGAGGACAGGAGGGTCAGGGGAGACATGACATACAAAACAATGCGTGGAATAGATAAGGTGGACAGACAGGATGTTCCAGAGATGGGGGACACAAACAAGGGGTCACAATTGGAGGTTGAAGACTCAGATGAGTCAAAGCGATGTTAAGAAGTATTTCTTCAGCCAAAGAGTTGTTAGGAAGTGGAATAGTCTGGGAAGTGATGCAGTGGAGGCAGGAACCATACGTAGTTTTAAGACGAAATATGATAAAGCTCATGGAGCAGGGAGAGGGAGGACCCAGTAGCGGTCAGTGAAGAGGCGGGGCCAGGAGTCGAGTCTTGACCCCTGCAACCACAATTAGATGAGTACAACCGCAAGAAAAGTGATAGACTGTATAACTAGAGATGCCAGACTAATGACTGTACTTTCACCGTCTGTAAAAATAAAATAAAGCACTTAAATTGCTGGGAATGCTTTAATTTACACCTGGAAAATTCCGGAGCTATTGACCTCAAATCTGTACTCTACGATAATAGGCTACATTAAAACTGGAAACTTTTCCCTAGTCATTTGCGAACGCCCCAGCTATTCTGTAAAATACAGTATAACTGTCTTTACATTTCAGTAGTAAAGCATAGTGTTAAGACGCGCACATTACTTGAATTATAGTGTTATGTGAGGTACTATGGGCACATACCTTAGCCGAGGCGACGCCATCTATGTTGACAATGAAGCCAACGCCACAAGCAGCGGTCTCGTTGGATGGATCGTAAAGCCCCTGGGCCGGGGGGTACTCCCACGACTCCACCATTCTCTACCTGCAACACAAACTTCTTATTCAACACAATCACCCATACTCAGTCATGTCTTAATGCTCTTCTAAATGCACTACCTACCTCACTTAACATATATATAGCTAACACAGTAGTTACATGACATGATCCATGTAATAGGGCATAAGAAAATGACTTATTCTTAATGTAGACCAAGTAATATGTAATTTACTAGGCCTCATTATATTCTTCATCGAAAACTAAGATATCGACAAGCAAACATACCTCACCTATCTGTGTTTACAGATGACACAAAGGTCCAGAGGAGGGTCATCATATGACTAAGACCCGCGTCAGGAAACACTTTTCCTGCTTCCTGACCAACCTTACTTTACCTCTGTCTGCAGTGTGAAAAACCATCAGCTGTTAAATCTTAAATATTTTGGTGCAAACGTACTTATCAGTAAACTAAAAAAAAAAAAATGCAAAGATAAACTTTGCTCTCGTGAGCTATTACTGACAACCCCAACGAAGGTGCTAATATAAGAACAACGAATATGATGTTACGTAGCCTATATTAGATCCTTAACCGATTATACTGTGCCCTTAGTAATGTTACCTTAAGCTTAAGGAAATTCTCTCCAGTCCTTGGAACGAACGCAGGAGGGAGAGAGATATCATAATCTACACTTGGAAAATCTTGGAAGGAATGGTCCCAAATCTGCACACAGAAATCACTCCCTACGAAAGTAAAAGACTGGGCAGGCGATGCAAAATGCCGCCAATAAAAAGTAGGGGCCCCATTGGTACACTAAGAGAAAACACCATAAGTGTCCGGGGCCCAAAACTGTTCAACAGCCTCCCATCAAGCATTAGGGGAATTGCCAATAAACCCCTGGCTGCCTTCAAGAGAGAGCTGGACAGATACCTAAAGTCAGTGCCGGATCAGCCGGGCTGTGGCTCGTACGTCGGACTGCGTGCGGCCAGCAGTAACAGCCTAGTTGATCAGGCCCTGATCCATCGGGAGGCCTGGTCGTGGACCGGGCCGCGGGGGCGTTGATCCCCGGAATAACCTCCAGGTAATGCAAAATAACTCTTAGAGAAATATTTTGGGCTGTCCTAACACCACCAATATTCATAATATAAGGAAGGAGCTTTGATATTCCTAGGATCAGTGAAAGATAATTGAGATTAATACTGCCTGGTATTATAATGTTAAGAAATAAACCACAGTCAATACAAATGCTACTAAATGTCTTGATTAAATAAATACATATCTAAATGTTTTGTGAAGACATGCAGTTACACTAAAGTTTCATAACCTGCTCAAATTATCTCTGCGAACACAGAGCATTTCAACCGTCCATCGAAGTTGTATTCAATTAATATCACATATCTTAAGCCAAAGCCGCCCCCCCCCCCAGCTCATTATTATTAATCTCTAACTCAAATAAATTTAAATAAACAATTCAAAAAGAAATTTCTGGTTAAATCAATAATACTATCACAAATTACATACGCTGATGAATTGAAGCAAGAGTCCTACTTGCAGATCTGCTTCTGACAGTAGGCCTCGGCTGATAACCATAGCAACTGAGTCATGCATTAGAATTAGCAACAGGGCTTCTTTTTACACTTTAAACTATATTGTTTATCTAACCACAAGTAAGTAAATTAAACAAAACTGCCGTTATCGGTTTGGTAGTGAGGTCGACAAAACCAGGAAGTAAGTTAACTTGGAAGGATTATCACTAGTGGTGCTAGAGTGAACGAAACACCCAGATATACACACTTCAGTGTATACAATGCACACATTACAGTATACAAATGTACATGCCAGCAGTGCGTATATATAGATACACCAAGGGGATACATATAAACACGCGCCTGTGTATACACACATGCCTCCCTACAATTCACTGCGTTGGGATGTATTAAAAATAGTGCGTGCCGAAATAAAAACAAAGTCAATCTGTAAGAATGTACTCCACGTCCTCCAAGACCACCAACTCGTAAGATGAAGATAAAACCGGTTGGTAGCAGACTAACGCAGTCTGATAAAAACTCCTGTGCCACGCCTGCATCACATGAACAATCTGCAGCGTTACCAAGCTACCCAAGGTTATTATTAATCCACAGCATTGAAATATCTCCCGCCCTAAGATTTCGCTTACCCCCCCCCCCATCCCATCCTAACTGTCAAACGTTTGCCAAGATTCTCGTAGCATTACTTGTCTTGTACACATGCAAGATGACAGGCAAATTACACACTTTAAACATTCACTACAGTTTGCTTTCCTGTTTCTTAATTCTTTTTCTAGTAATATTTTCCCTGATAATTTACGCGGTCTGGTCTGAACCCGGCAGCGCCGAAGGAGCGGCAGTGATTAAAACAACTATGTTCCCACTTACCTTAAGGAAAGGAACAAAAAAACTTGAACTAAACTAACTACATCACCTGGAAATGGGAGGACAACAGGTTTAAAGTTGAGGGAAGCTAGGAGTGCCTTCGATCAAGAGCCCTTTAGCAACAAATTGACCACCTCCCATTGGAGGGAATGCAACTAAAATACCCTCCATAGATAATGAGAACCTTCAAAACTAGGGACGCCAATCCCATGATGATTCTCTTCAAATCGCTTGTGCTCTCTAGGCTGGAATACTCCTGTACACTAACGGCCCCCTTCAAGGCTGGCGACGTTGCAGACCTGGAGAGTGTACAAAGAACTTTCACGGCACACACAAGTACGATACGGAACCTAAATTACCAGGAACGGTTGAAGGTCCTTGATCTGTATTCCCTGGAACGCAGGCGAGATATATACTTGATAATATACACTTGGAAGGTCCTGGAGGGATTGGTACCAAACCTGCACACGAAAACACCCCCCTAGAATCAAAAGACTGGGAGAAAATGCAAAAATCCCCCGATGAAAACGGGGCGCCACGAGTACATTAGAACAACACAATAAGTGTCCGGGGGCCTAAATGTTCAACTGCCTCCCATTAACAAAAGGGGATTACCAATAGACCCTGCTGCTTAAAGAAGGCACGGGAACAGGAAACCTAAAGTGGGACCTGACCAACGGGGCCTGTGGTTCGTACGTCACTTGCATGCGGCCACAAACACCTGGTTGATCAGACCCTTAGCCACCATAGGCCTGGTCTCAGACCGACCCCGGGGCTTGCCCCCCCGAAACCCTCTCCACGAAAACCCAGGTAAACCAGGAAAATGTCCCAAAACTATAAAAAAAATTGAATACATCAGAATAGTCCAGTATAAAAACATTTTAGTGCAGCCTAGCAACCACTGAGCGTCAATAAAATCAAAAGGTTGAGTCAACTTGGTTATAACTACTGGGGCATAAGGGGGGAGAGCAAATCACAACGGTGCAACTATTGGAGTGAGAGGGGGAAATCACACAATGGCTCACACATTACCCACACAAAAAAATTAAACCGCTTGTGAAATATAAAACCTGTTTTCATATCAATCCACTCCCGACTTTAAAGCGTATAAAAGAAACGAAACCCCCTTTTTCAATTTAAATTTTATAACTGACCAAATTTTTAAAGGGGTGGACCGGGAATCCGCGGAAGGCCCCGGGCAAATGACCAAAAAACTTCAATGGCGGGTCACATCTGACTAAGACCTGTGTCAGGAGACACTTGTCCTGTTTCCTGACGAACATTACCTAAGCCCTGTCGTCCGTCTACACATGGAATCTCGTAAGTCTGGACCCAAGGAGGAAAATGGAAACAAATGGCAACAATAATGACTGGGCTGAGGGTAATATAGCCTGGTTAGTGAATAAAAAGCCAGTTTGCTTTAATGGTGCCCCTTAACTCGATTGGTAGAGCACTTGGCTCACACAATGAGTGTCCACGGTTCGTTTCACGGTACAAGTGGAAACATTGGGCGTGTTTCCTTAAGACAACTGATGTCCCTGGTCACCTAGCAGCAAAACAGGTGTTAGCCGGCTGGTGTGGGTCGCATCCTGAGAACAAAATTAACCCAAGTTGCCCGTAGTGCTCTGCAAAACCAGGGGCTGTCTATATAGTATGTCACTGGTGTCAGCTAGTCTATATAAGTTGTAGCATGTACTTGTAATAAATATTAATCCCTAAAATAAGTATTGAAATCTACAGGCACATTGACACTTGTGTGTTTACAAAGTCACCGACTTGTGGTTGAGCCAAGTCCTCCAGTCAACTTAGTCTTCCTCCCCAACAGTAAATATTCATACTGCAAATAGGACTCCATTGCGCAACAATCTCCAAGGCTGCATACTGTACCTTCTCTCCCTGTGCTCTGCAGCATATTGTATACATATGCCACGTGTGCATATGTGTATGCATATACTATATTTGGCGTGTGGGGGGGTATGTGCAATCGCTCGGTTGCTCTCATTTTATGATGCCAAAGAAAGTTTCCCAACACGTTGTTGGGCAGTAGTAGTATCTTAACTGAGACGTAGTAAACAAAAGAGTAAAGACTGTTTCAATGAATGGAATAACAGCTTTTGACGATGGTGATTGGTTGACAGTGTGCGCGAGTGTGAGTGAGTGTGTGTGTGTGAGTGAGTGTGTGTGTGTGTGTGTGTGTGTGTGTGTGTGTGTGTGTGTGTGTGTGTGTGTGTGTTGTGTGTGTGTGTGTGTGTGTGTGTGTGTGTGTGTGTGTGTGTGTGTGTGTGTGTGTGTGTGTGTGTGTGTGTTGTGTGTGTGTGTGTGTGTGTGTGTGTGTGTGTGTGTGTGGTGTGTGTGTGTGTGTGTAAATCACACAGTAATGTCACAAAAATCAAGTGTCATCTTAACACGATATATAACCACAGTTAATGGTAATTAAAGACCTGGGAATTTAACCGTTATACACAACAGTAATATTGTATATATTAAACTTCATTGATGCTAATCTTAAAATTAACTAATAAAATATGGGAAAGAACAGTGAAGGCAATAGCATTAAGGTTAATTAGTGTGTTGACTCTGCTGCCTCACCGTATTTACACTCTCCTCAAGGTTTACGCTTAGACTTGCTTCAACCA